AGTAGAAGCAGAGCCACCGATCATGGCTGAGCTCCTCTCAGCAACTAAAGCTCTGCCGCCCAGTTCTGATGTCCACTTCAGCAGCACAGATTCCTGTTGGACCAGGAGAGCCTCCAGCAGCGTTCCTGGTTCTGTCAGCATTCCTTCACTGAGCCACATAACCTCTGCAGCAAACAACAACCCAAGACGAGCTGCAAGCTTACCTGACATGAAGCTGCAGAGCAGCTTTGAGGAGTTCACACCTGACTTCAGTGAAGACGACGAAGACGATGGAAGCTACAGGTTCCAGTGCTCCTGCCCGGGCCTGTACCAGTGCAGTGTGACCGGCCTGGTGTTTGACATGGAGGCAGAGGGGGACGTGGTTTACAGGACAGTCCCTTGGAACAGGAGGCTCCTGGTCCAACATCACAAGAAGCCTGCAGGACCCCTGTTTGACATGGAGTGTGTGCAGCAGTCTGTGCGTCAGCTTCACCTCCCACACTGCCAGATCCGCCCCACAGCTGGATCTCTGGCAGTGGCTCACGTGACAGATGACGGCATCAAGTTCATCACCCCTCTGAAGATCACAGAAACTCACCTCGTTATCAACATCACAGGCTTTTCTGCTTTCGGTAACGTGAAGGATGAAGACTCTCCCCCCGACCCGGTCCGAGCATTGGTTCTGCTGTTCTACAGGCCACCAGATGATCCAGATGTCACATCCATCCTCAATGTCTTGTTGCTGCCACGGAACATTGTGATCAGAGATCTACAGCGCGCCAGGAGGAAGTTAGTGGGAGAGGAGAGGTTCATAGATGCGTCTCCACACTGTAAACTGCACCCAGATCAGGTCTACACTCTGTCCACTGCTCCTGAAGACGACCTGATTAAAGTTCAGCCAACAGAAACAGAGTTTGATGAGGAGTCTCACAGCAGCTACTTCACATCATTCCAGGTGATTTTAAAAACCGTCATTAGAGACATTTCTCTGAGTCTGAAAGACAAGAAGAGTTCTTGCTGTGTTTGGGAAAGAGATGTTTGTCTTCTACCCTCTAGAGCCAAAACTCTGACTCTCCGTCCAAATGAGAAGCTGCTAGACATACGCAGCTGCTTCATCGACGGCACATCAGGACCTGTTCTCAACAGTCTGCTGGACAAGCTGCTGGAGAAAAGGGTGTTCACCGACTCTGAGAGGGAGTCAGCAGACGAGATGCAAAACAGAAGAGACAAAGCTCGTTTTGTTGTGGACACGGTGAGAAAGAAAGGCGACGCTGCCAGTTCAGAGATGATCGACTTCCTCTGTGAGGTTGATCCCTTCCTCTCCAGACGTCTGGGACTGATGTGAAGCATCATGAAGAGATGGAACAAGGTGCCATCTGTTAGAAACATGAACATATTTACAGTGAATGCCGTCATTGTCATCCTCAACCATCATGTTTTAGTTCAGGAGATGTTGACTCTGTTTCTGAAAATGCTCAAGCATACCAGTGGTACCAGGCACACAACTTTCAATACAACAGCTGTTTTTAACTCAGAGTTGTTGAACAATTAACTGTCATTTTACCGAGTTTCCCTGTTTTGTTAAATTACAGATAATCACCAATATAACAGATAAAATGTTTTAGTTTCCTACTGTAAATAACATCCACATCAAAGATCTGCATTTTTACAAACAATAATATGTTCTTTTACAATGTTTGACTGTAAAATTATACAGTTTTTAAGGTGCTTATATAAAAAAAACATGATTTAACAGATATTTGTCAATATTCAAAAACATATTAAAGACTGTAAAATGGGCAATAATGTTTGAACTGTTATTGTACAGAGTTAAATTACAAATAAAACCTCGTAAAATCACAGAACAAGTGTAAATGTACACGTTGACTATAAAAGCAAAAGGTGAATAACGTTGTAGATGACGTTTACATCTTTGGATCTTTACAAATACGAGTTTTGTCTTTTATGTGGGACAACGTTTGACTGTAAAACGCTTTTCTGCTGTAACTTTATGGGAGCTTCCTTATTTCTCTTCATACTAATGTGTACTCGTGTCTTACTGCTGTTCTGCGAGGCACTGCATTTATTCTCATATTACTGGAATTGTTCTGAGCAATATCAGCCACAAGAAGGTCCTCCAGGATTAATACAGTGCCTTCAAACAGCATTCACCACCTTGTACGTGTGTTTTCTTCCTGTAATTGCTTTTCAACAATTAATCAGTAAAAGCCATTTAATTTGGCTGTTTAACTAGAATTTACAAAATAAGAGACTCTTTCATGTCCAATTGGGAATACATTTCTACAAAGTAATGTCAACGAGTCAAAAATATAAAGCCTAAAATAAGTGACTGCATAAGTATTCACTCTTGTCAAGTCAGTGTTTAGTGAATGCAAATTTGGCTGCAAGTCCAGCATTGAGCCCGTATTGATCCATCAGCCTGAACATCTGGACGCTGCACTTTTACCTCACTCCTTGTAAAACTGTTCAGGTTGCACAGGGATCCAGAGGGAGCAGCCCTTTTCAAGTCCAAGTCTGAGGTCCAGACTCTGACTGGGCCTCCAGAATATTCGTCTTGTTGTCTTAAAACCATTTCTGTGGAGCTGTATTTGTGTCGGCTCATTGTCTTGTAGGAAAACAAATCGTTATCCAAGTCACAGTTCTGCATCTGGTTGTCCTCCAGGANGACTTTATTCAGTCATTTGACCGTGAAAGCTTTTCATTTCTGCGTCAGACACTCGAAAAATTCGGACAAAATGACGAGGCTGTTTAGCGCTGCCGTTGATCCAGTTTAACCGGCCTTGTTCGCTTTATTTATGCTCCAGATGTTCCGTTCGCAGATTGTTCCCGACCAGAGCTGTCTGTGTGTGACGATAGAGATGCTACATGGAGAAGAGCTCGCCGAAAAACGCAAACATCAGTCGTTAATAAAGTCTATATCCATGTCAGTATGATCTACAGACAGCAAATAAAAAAACACATTTTTCTAGTTTGGTCCGAGGATTCAGAACCATATAGTCCAGATGTTAGTCATTGTGCCACCGATCAGCCCCCATTAGGATCCTTCTCAATCCTACAAATCTGTTCCATTCTGTCAGGTGTTTAACAACCTGGTGGTTATTCAGGAAACACGTCCAGAGCAACTGCTGATAGTCACAACTTAACACAGACACACCCTGTTTGATAATAAAACATGTTATTGTCTGACCAACAAATGCCACAACATAGAAGCACGTTGTGTTGTGTTGTATGTTGTGTTGTGTGTCTGGACGTGTTAGTAGTGTTTTCTCAGTGAGGAGTTCTGACAACGTGGCCTCAGTTTGTTCTGATGATTTCATCAAACCAGACTAATGGTGTGCTGCGTGTTGTTGTGGTGGGAGGCTGCTGTGTGTGTTTCAGTGAACAGACCCGAGTTAAGCTTCAACTTCTGCTCTGGATCTCTGACACTGAATGCACAGACTGACACACGACACAACACAACGTGCTTCTATGTTGTGGGTTTTGTTGCTCAGAGAATAATATGTTTTGTGTGTCGTTATCAAACAGGCAGCGTGTGTCTGTGTTAAGTTGTGACTATCAGCAGTTGCTCCGGGCGTGTTTCCTGAATAACCACCAGGAGTTAAACATCTGGCTGAATGGAACAGATCTGTAGGAATGAGAAGGATCCTCATGGAGCTGATCGGTGGCACAATGAGTATTTTTACATCTGGACTACATGGTTCTGAATCCTCTCACCAGACTAGAAATATATAGAATTATATTTGTGCCACAATCCTGAGCGCGTAGTGGGAAGTTTTGAGTGCAGGAAAAAATCTTTAGCAAATAAAAACCTATCGTAAGCAAACAAAGGTGTTTATTTGCTAAAGATTTTTTTCTGTGCTCAAAATTTCTCATTACATGCTCAGGATTGTGAAACAAATATAATTACATAGAAATGTGTGTTTTTTATTGTGCTCAGCACATTTGGTTTCGCTTTCGGTACATCATACTGACATGGATATAGACTTTGATGGTTGCGTTTCTCGGCGAGGTCTTCTCCATGTAGCATCTTTATTGTCACACACAGACAGTCTGGTTGTGACAAATCTGCGAACGGAACATCTGGAGCGTAAATAGAGCAAACAAGGCTGGTTAAACTGGAACACCGGGTGTTGTTACTCGCTGTGGTTTCGTTTTTCACTGCGACAGGAAGTCCTGCAGCTCTGTGGAAACAACACGAGCATGAACAGAAGGAGACAGAACTTCTGTGCAGTTA